CGAACTGGAAATTTCTTCTACGAGCGCTAGTTTTCTTATTGAGAAGTATGATTTTAGTGTTTCTATTAAATAATGCCATTATAATTTCTCTGCAACCCTAAATACCATCTCTGTAATTTTCTTTTTCACTTTCTCCTTGCTGGAAAATTTTCTATGGTGTCTGTTCGCCTTCATTAATTCGTATTTACTACTTTCATGTTGAATTGAATCCCTATGTATTTAATTTTCTGATCACATCACACACGTAAAATTCTACAATTAATTCCATTTTGAATTTTCCTTCACAAAAAATATAGTATTAATTGGATCTATATTTATTGATATTTTGAAGCATTAACGTTTTGTTATATTTATTCCTGATTACAGTCAGGAAAGGTTTACTTGCAAAGATGCAACTCTTCAAATCTTCCATCCACAGAATATCGACACCAAAACCAACCCAATCAAACAGTTCCTCGGCTTCAAGATTTAAATTTCCCGCCATCTCCTCCGGCAAAACCCTTATTAAATCTTTTTGACGACGGTACCTTGGAGCTCAAGTTAGTGTCCTCATCATCTTCATCCTCGTCAACCAATTATCAAAGCGTTTGTACACTTGATAAAGTGAAATCTGCCCTCGAGAGGGCGGAAAAGGAACCAAACAAAAGACGATCACCTCATGGGAAATCATCAATGTCACCGTCGTATTCTTCTTCGTCGTCCTCAATTAGGGAAGCTCAGGAGGATCAGGAGAAGGATGAGAAGTTACTGGCATTACCCGTGGCAGTAGGGTGTCCCGGGTGCTTATCTTATGTGTTGATAACGAAAAACAATCCCAAGTGCCCGAGATGCAATTCCATTGTTCCGTTGCCTGCAACCAAGAAGCCTCGCATTGATCTTAATATGTCCATTTGAGATTTTGGAGGGAATTAACTAGAAAAATATATGACGGTGAAGATGATGATGCGTGTTGATCTTGTAAATGATAGATAAAGTTAGTCTTCGAGAAAAACAGATGTTAGCGAAGGATAAAAATTTTTGTAAATTGAAAAATCCATGTTTAAGTTCAAACAAATTTTTATATCATGTTTTAGGAGCATAGAGACATCAAAACATTCATGAATTTTCTTTCATTCAATATGCTTTCTAATGGTTATAAATTTACCAAATTTTCAATCTCGTTAGATATTTTTTATTTCTTCATTTAAAATTTTTTACTTTTACATGAATCTTAAAAAAATAAGTATCTATTTCGAACAGATATTTATATATTTTAATAATTAAATATTATTTGTAACGTAATCAATATATTAATAAAAAAAATATAATAATCAACTGAGAAAAGAAAACAGTGTTGATTGACCATCACTTATCATGACATTGATTACTCCATGAGACTTGAATAAGCAACTTGTGTGTTAAGCCACCATTTAAATTGAACTGCATTTACTTGAGACTTTAATGTGGTTTACATAATTCTGCCAATTATAACTCTTTTAATTGCAG